CCCTAACATATATATATATATATATATATATATATATAAATATAAATGGTGCCCCAGAACTGTCAGGTTACAAACATTCTTACAAACATCTTCCTTCGGATTTAGAAGAGCAAAGAAAATCATACAGGTTTGGAACAACTTGAGGGTGAGTAAATGATGACAATATTCATTTTGGGTTGGACTATCCTTCTTGGGATATTATAAATCTGCAGAATATAGCATAAAAGACATGTGGGCAACCTTCATGCTTTGTGGTGGGAGCATGTTCGAGTACTGTACTGTAACAGAACGCCAATAATGTTACCTCTGGTATGTGATTTGTAGTTGCAGGAGGTGAGGATGGCGCAGGTGCAGTTCGGTAAAGTGCCCGTCCTGGACTTCAAGTTAAACTGCAAATCAACAGCAGTTGAGGTTTCTCTTTGGCGAGATGAGGCTCTTATCGAGCTGTTAAATGGAGACACAGTGGAGCTGACCCACCTCCGCCCAAACACTAAACAGAATGGAAGAATTCAATTCAATTCTTCCACACACACCACTGTAAAGGTACACTATGTAATGCATAATATTATTTCTTTAAATCAGTCTCTCTCAAACTGGAGCCCCTCCCATCACTACACACATCTGCCATATTAGTAACATAAGTCAACACAACTTGCTTATAAATCTGCCTTTTGTTTTGTATATTTTATTATTATCTATTATTATTTTAATGCTCATGTCATGCTAATAAAACAGGTGAGTGTATGTGTACTGCTATTCACAAATATAGTAATACCAGTCATTTTTGACCGTGTGGGGACATCTGTTTGGTCCGCATGAGGAAAATGGCTTATAAATCATGATCTTTCTTGAAAATCTAAGGAAGCTTTTTGTGATGGGTAGGTTTAAGGTTAGGGGAGAGAATATACAGTTTGTACAGTATACAAATCATTACATATATGGAAAGCCCCCATAATGATAGGAATCCCAGTGTGTGTGCCCGTGGGGGTGGGGGGGTTACAAGAACGTGAGAGAGACTGAGGAAGACAAAGTGAGAAGTAA